TTTGGTACTATGATTTTGAAAGAGGATTCAGATTCACCAGTGCATTTACATTCTCTGTAGGACTAAGCATATTTTTACTACGTAAATAGCATTTAATGGGGATAAAAAAAAATAATCTTAATACATATGCCTCCTTAATCATTCCCCAGAAGCTTTCTTTCAATGGAACATGGCACTTAAGGCAATTTATTATACTTTAAAGCTGAAGTCCTTTTTATTATCCGTTCCATACACAAACTGATGGTAATTTCATTTATTTGTTTATATATGTTTGGCAAAATCAGATTACTTCCAAATACAACGATGTTTTACAGTCATCAGGAGAACTGCATCTTTTATCCGGATTCCTTTGAAATACATCATGCATGTGACTCGTAAGAAATAAAGTGATGCAAAGACATTTTTGCAAATTGCCTACAGCACTATAAAACCTTGTCTTTCCTTGGCCTCACCAGCTTTTCTTCTACCCAACATCCATGGAAGTTTATTTTACCCTAGGACCAAGAGTCATAATGCTGTAATGCTATTTAAAAAATGAAATAGTGATCATAAAACCAGTATGTGTTTAAATGGGGTAATACATTCTATATTTGTATACAATTCAAGCTTTTAGGTAATGCTATGAGATTCTTTGCCCTGCACAGTAACTAAATAACCATAAATGATCTTTTATGCATATGCAAATCTGTCCCTCTAAGCACCTTATTAATTATTTCAAAGATACTTGGAGGTCACCACTCATGGAAATTTCTATGCATGAAGCCTCATTAATACAAGACACCATACAGAGAGATAGGATAGATTTTGTTGCCATTTAACAAGGGCAGAGAGAGTATAATCTGTAATGTTTACTTTTTCATATTAATGACCAATTAAATCTAGCCAGCTCCTATCTATAAATCCTTGCCTTGAGCTGATACAGTGGGTTTGAATCATGGGGCTGCTGCCACAGTACTCTGAACAGCTAATCCTATCAATGCACCAGTTACTGTGCTCAGAGATCTGGTCCTCAACGATGGCTGTTTTCAGCTGTAGTAGTGCTGCCTGGCACTAGATGAGCAGCTAAGCACTAAGGAATTAATGTTGTTCTCCCAAAAATCACAACAATGACACTTTCGTGTTGGAACAAAGTGAAGCTATGTCATTACCAAGGTGATACATCATAGCCCATCAGCTGAGATGATAGCTATCTTCTGAATACATTTTATCTCCTGCTTAATTAGGCCACATAACAGAAATCAAAGAAAAGCAAGGATACAATCACACAAAATAATGCAATTACAAAATGCATCTTCTGGTACATCTGTGCCAGGAAGCAAGAAATTAAACTTACTCGAGAAGCACTATTTAACTGAAATCCCTAGATCCTTTCCAGCTCAAGTTATACATGTGATAACACTGATCTTTCCTGTCACAGTGACCCTTTTCTGTAGTAGTTGCTGGGGTTTTTTTATTCTGGTGTGTGTGTGGTGGTTTCATCTCTAGATTGATCCAATAAAAGATATAAAAAAAAAACTTGTTATGTTGGTACATTCCTTTGATAAAAATCAGGAACAGTGAGTCAAATGTTAATGGAAACTGCAGGCTATGTTCACTATGTTATCTCTATTTTTGAAAAACACTTGAATTAACAGAACTAATTGGAAGTGCAAACAATTTAAATATATTTAATTACAAAACTAAACCCACCTGTACGGCTCTAGGGCAACGTCTGCACATATGCCTTGAAGAAATGGGCTAGTTTTTAAAAAATCTATTCTTACAGGAAAATGGGAAAGTAAAATAATTTTTACAAAATATTAACTCAGAACATTAGTATTTTCTGTTCAAGTCACCATAAATACTATTTCAGCATTAGTCTGTGTATTAATAAAAATTGTTTTGATCTGTCTGTGTAACCTAGTCACCTACCATAACATAAATATCATTACAGTAAATACAACTGTGATTTGCATCCCTTTTAGCAGCAGGCTCAAATCAACATCTAGACTTTCAATAAAGCTCAGATCTAATTTTTATTTTTTATTTTTTATTTTTTTCTGCTTTGAGTCATGTTCTGTTAGAGATAACTTCTATTAAACTGACATTGCCAGAGTAAGAAAGAAAAGTATTTTCTTGGCGTGTCCCATATTATTCCTTCCTGTCAAAGGGAATTCATTTTAGGCTTCACTGAGGTAATTAGACAAAATTGTGTCAAACAGTGCTTTATCATACTCACATGTAAATACAGGCTACAAATTGCAGTTGGAAAAATGAAGACTGCAAACTGTAGATTGCAAAAATGAAATCTTAAACTATTCAGTAGGAGTGCCATAATAAGCAGAAAAGAAAATAACATGATTCTGCTCTGAGTGTTTCCTAATTTAACTCATTGCTGATGAAAGCTGCTGGATCCATAGCTATGAAGGAGGCTAAAATCCTTTGTAGCTGAACTGTAAGAGATAAAGGAAACTCAGGCATTCCTCTTCTTCACAGGTGTGATGCAACTCAGCCCCGTGACTTTGTCAAAGGACAAAAGTCCTCATCAGTTCCTAACTCAAATACAACCTAATTCTAGAAACAACCACATTTCTTGCAAACCAAAATCAAAGTCTGGTTCAGGTAGCTACAAAAATGAACAAGTGAAGTTACAGCAGCACTGATTAGATTTTTCATCCTGCCAAGCAGTCTGAAAGACACTGCTTACAAGTACTTTTATTAATACAGAACTGCTAACACAACAAGGAAGGGGTAGCAATCAATTTTAGGCTTAGATGGGAGATTATACCAAAATGCTGAATACTTAGAGATTGTGACTGAAAACCTCTCCAACACAAAGGATGCTAGTGCAGTATAATGTCAATACTTCTCAGAGATGATGAGGCTGGCTCTGAGAGAGCAGGTATCCCCAGACAGCACCATGCTCCACTGTACAGATACCAGCACAGGTCCTGAAGTAGTATTTGCCTGGCCACAGAATCACAAAATGGTTTTGGTTGCAAGAGACCTTAAAGATCATCTAGTTGCAACCCCCATTCATGTGCAGGGACACCTCCCACCAGACCAGGTTGCTCAAAGCCCCATCCAACCTGGCCTTAAACACTTCCAGGGAGGGGGCATCCACAACTTCCCTGGGCAATCTGTTTCAGTGTCTCACCATGGTCATAGTGAAGAATTTCTTCTTAATGTCTAACCTAAATCTACCCTCTCCTAGTTTAAAGCCATTACTGCTTGTCCTATTGCAACATGCCAACATGGTCATGTCCATCAGTCATCATGGTCAGTCCTCATCAGCCTACCAGAAGTGTCAAAGAGCCTTGCCTACATGCTATACTGACACAACTATGCTTTCTTCCCTTCAGCATCATGATTCAGCTCTAGGTCAAGAATCTCTGTACTGCACAGCACGGCAGAAGGCCTAAACATGCACTCCACCACTCCACTTACTCACTGAAGAGCAGGAAGAAAATGTATTGCAATTGTATAATTACTACTATTACTATTAGTACTATTGGCATATGTTGGTTTACTGCATAGCATTTCAAAAACAACCTTCTGATTTTGAGAGTTCTGAAACTTCAAAATTGGCAGGGTTTTAGCTTTTCCATATTTAGCTATTTTAACACTTAAAGTGTAACACATCTGAGGCTAGACCGGCAGCAATAGCTGCTTTTCCATTCCCACAGCTGAACCCTATCTCACTTGAACAGCAGAAGTACAGTCATCCTTTGGGCATCCTTTACAGTACTCCAAGCCTTTGCCTTCCTCATTTCAAAGACTGAAATCACATCCCTGATAATTTCTTTTTTCCTCATCCCATCTCCCCTACTCTCCGTCTACCACTCAATTCTCATCGTGTTCAACTTCAACACTTAGAAAAGAAGACTGGCTTGCTACATCCAGCCAGAAGTAACTTCCAAAACTTCTTCAAGCTTCTTAGTCTCCTCTCTGAGAAAAGGGACAGACAAAACTTCTAACTCAACAACTACAGTGACATGATATGTGGAAAAATATTTTTTTGTTTTGTGCAGCATGGCCAGAGATGGGTTTGCAGACAGAATCACAGAATCATTGTGGTTGGAAAGAACCTCTGAGATCACCAAGTCCAACCATCAACACAAAAAGACCCCTAAAGAAACACAAACTCTCACACACACTCCACCAAAAAAGACCCACAAAACCCCTTACAACCTTGGCCCCTAGAGCATGCCCTGAAGTGCCACATCTACATGTTGTTTTTTTAATACCTCCAAGGATGGTGACTCAACCACCTCCCTAGGCAGGCCGTTCCAGTTCCTGACCACTCTTTCAGTAAATAAATTCTTCCTAATATCTAATCTAAGCCTCCCCTGCTGCAACTTCAGGCCATTTCCTCTAGGCCTGTCATTATTCAGCTGGGAGAAGAGGCCAACACCCACCTCACTACAACCTCCTTTCAGGTAGTTGTAGAGGGCAATGAGGTCTTCCTTCAGCCTCCTCCTCTCCAAACTAAGCATCTCTGGTTTCCTTAGCTGCCCCTCATATGACTTGTTCTCTAGACCCTTCACCAGCTTGGCAGCTCTCCTCTGGATACGCTCCAGCACCTCAATGTCCTTCATATAGCAAGGGGCCCAGAACTGCACACAGTACTCGAGGTGCGGCCTCACCAGGGTCAAGTACAGGGGCACGATCACTTCCCTACTCCTGCTGGCCACACTGTTCCTGATACAGGCCAGGATGCTGTTGGCCTTCTTGGCCACCTGGGCACACTGATGGCTCATGTTCATCCGGCTGCCAATCTGCATCCCCAAATACGTTTCCTCTGGGCAGCTTTCCAGCCACTCTTCCCCAAGCCTGTAGCATTGCCTGGGGTTGAGACTGAAATGCAGGATCCAGAACTTGGCTTTACTGAACCTCATACAGTTGGCCTTGGCCCATTGATCCAGCCTGAGATATACGCAAAACTAATAGATGATTTGAAAAATCTTGCCCAGAAATCAAAATCACATACATTTTTAAAAAGAAAATCAGCTAAAACGTACCTACGCAAGGGAGGGAATAACCAAGCTCTGGGTCATGTATGAACTGGCGGTCATTCAGCATAGTCACACAGTACAGATGGAAACAGTCCAGGCAAATGACATGGCGATGCACGCACTGGAACACAAGCACAGGACTCCTGTTAAAAACAAAATAGGAAAAATTATGAACAAGGACTGGACCAAACTCCCCAAAAGACTGTTTTCAAACTTCTAATTTTACAATGCTTTTTCATTAGGAGTACACAAGATTATTATGTACATTAAAAAAATAACTTAGCCTGGCATATTGCAGCACTTTTAAAGAGAGATGGTTTCTAAAATGAATTAAATGCATGAAAAAGGAATAAGTTTTTACTGAAAGTTGAAACTTTACTGAAAACTGGAACCTAAAGCAAGAAAAATGCTTTACTAACAGAAATCCTTTACATGAGGCGAGGTGAGATCATATGTGGTAAAAAATAAATAAATGGTGGTAGGTAAGATCAAATAGGAATGTGACCATCTAGGAAAGCTAAATAGGAATTTGTGAAGACCACTCTGTGCCTTTAGCGTCTCAAGGCATCCATTGCCACTCTACATAGAGGGCATTCCCTTGGTAATAGTGACTAGAATAATTCAGTTTCTGTTCAAGTGTATAGGATTCAATTTGGGAACAAGACACCTGAACTTCAGTGCTATATATAAACATCTCTCTGCCTGCTAAGCAAGAAATTCTCACTTTAGTCCATACATTCAGTAGAGGCTGGAGCTGGTAAGCCTCCAGGTATTTGCATTAGGGTGAGCTGAATCACCCACATGGCTCCACTGTCTGTATGGACTACATCTCCAAGCACCATTACAGGAGTTCAGACACCTGCCACACATGCAGACACCTACATGGAGACAACTAAATATGGCTAGTTCAAGCTTGACAAGATACTGCTTGCGGAAATGCAGAGAGGAGAAACAGTTTTACTCCACACCATCCACAACTTCTCTGGGCAGCCTGTTCCAGTGTCTCATCACCCTCACAGTAAATATTTTTTTTCCTAATATTTAATATAAATCTACTTTCTTTCAGTTTGAAAACAATACCCCTTGTTCTATCACTACACGCCCTTATAAAATGTCCCTTGTAAAAATGTTCCTTGTACTAGAGTACTAGCACTAAAGTACTGGAAGGCTGCTATTAAGGTCTCCTGGGAGCCTTCTCTTTTCCAGGTTGAACAACTCCAACTCTTTCAGCTTGTCTTCACAGGAGAGGTCCTCCAGCCCTCTGATCATCTTCATGGCCCTCTGGGCTCACTCCAACAGTTCCACATCCTTCTGATGTTGGGGGCTCCAGAACTGGACACAGTTCTCCCAGTGGGGTCTCATGAGAGTGGAGTAGAACTACCTCCCTTGACCTGGTGGCTACGCTTCTTTTGATGACTATGACCCTTTTAATAAAGTTATATGCTCTGTAAGTGTTACAAAATGCTGTTTGCTTATCTCTTCTCCTTGAAGAGTACTTCCAATCCTAAGTATCGAAATTGGAAAGAGAGGTGCATTAAGCTGAAAAAAAGAGTGAGATTCCTATTCAAATGCTGAACTATGTTATTCCTTTTAATTGTCTCTGGGCAAACACAGGTAGATATGGGTTGCATATTAATTTTTTTTAGAAACTGGAAAGCAAATTACTTTTGAAAATAAAAGGAGGAATTCTCACATATTCCCCCTGCCCCAGGAGATAGGTATTAAAATATAACTTCAAATACAGCAGGATTTGTAATAAAATCATCAGAGTTAGCAATAGTACGGTAGCTTCTATAAATCCCGCTATACAATGCTTTGAAAACCCCCTGAAACAGTAAATCACCAAGCCCTCAATGTGGGAATACAACTGCAAAATGTAATCAATAATAATTTCAGATACTGTATGTAAGCATTTAATCTTCCATGAAAATATGCTTTAGAGTTGCACATACTATAGAATTCATGGCAGTGTGTTGGTATCTCCAAAAATATAATCTCTATGTTTTAAGGATTTTGTTGAATAAAGCAGCTTAAAAACTGAATTAAATAAAACCTCCCCATTACTAATCCTTATTAGTTGCCCACTTGCTGTTCTGAATGTAACAAATAATAATTTTAAAAAGACAGCTGTAAGGCAAAATAAGAACATGATCTGTATCATTTTAGCTCTGGCTGGTCCCAAAATCATTATCGAAAGGTGGAGTGGTTATCTTGTCAATACAGTGCAAAAGTACCCATTGCTGAATAGTTAAATGTAACCTTAAGAAAAACACCCCAGAGTTCTTCCTCAAATGCAGATATAATCATATTTGTCTGTAGCTTTAATGGACATCTCTCTTTTAGGGTTAATTGGTCATTTTTTATTGTGTCAGTAGTGCAGTATTTTTGTAGTTTCATGCAAAGCTACCTGGATATAAATTCACACTTCTCTGACCTTAATTTCAAAGACAACATGTATTTTATGTGTGAGGAGGGATCTAGGAGAGAAAGCCATAAAAAGTTGAGTATCTTAAAAAAAACCAACAGGGCAGACATGAAAATGGTGTTATAAATGCTTCCACCTAAACTTGTACGTAAACAAGACTAACAGCACATCATTATGCAAATTAACTACTATAAGCAGTTAACAATATAAATTATTTTTCTCCTTCTTAATTGTGGGAAACTGTTCTTTTCTTCCCCAATATCGGCTCATGACATTAAGATATATTACAACTGTTCGAAATCAAACTATATTCTCCAGACGTAGCAGTCATATATGTACATATCTGAACTGCATACTTCAACATTAGCCTTACTATGTGCTATTTTTTAACACTATCAGACTTGCAAGCAATGTTTACAAGTTAGATATAAGTCTGGGTTCTGACTGCGTCACAAAATGCAAGCTTAGCTGTCAGAGCTATTACACCATCCGCTAATTTTGCAGTCCACAGTATGTGTCACGAGGCTTGGAGAAACTCAATTTGTATGCAATGCCGATGTCTTCTAATTCATTTGGCATTGTAACCATGACTGCATTCCAAAATTTGCAGATTTGATATCAAAAGAAAGCACTTCTAGTTTATAAGACATATGCAAGTTTTCTTCCTGAGACCAGTAAAGACAAAGATGTAGAGATTATGTTCATAATGCCCAGATGAAGATAGCAAATATTCATTTAGGATAACCCCAAGAGTTATTTACAGAAGCCCTGCTTGAACCAAACACAATTTATTTTAGAAAGGAATATTATGAAAGTAAAAAAAAAATTAAAAAAAAATTGCCATATAATGTAACAAGGGCTCTTGCTCCATCTCACATAACAGTCTAGTAATGTAAATCTGATGCATATTTTAGAAGGTATTTCATAGCTTCCATTTATATAATGTGATTGGCTGAATTAGAGGCTTCATGAGAATCATATATAAGAAAAACGTTTCTCACAGCAAGGAATAAATTGGTCCTTTTTGTTCACCAATTAGGAATGTAACGACTTTTAAAAATTGAAAATCCAACATTACAATGCATTACAGAAAATTTCCATAATAAGTCGTTCACTCTTGTGCTCTAATTCCTTTTCATTAGAATTTTATCAGCATGCATTTACTTAAACGAAAAAGAAAGGAGAACTTAAATGTTTCTGCTTCATGTTATTACTGTCAGATAATCATGTGGCACAACAACAGCACGGCTGGAAGCGCTATCTGGTCTGTATGCTCTTTCTCCTTCTCCTGACTGAGAAGCCACAAGACACAGATAATTCTCAGACAGAATACAGCAGTACACTGGCTAAATAAAGATACAAAAATTTGATCTTGTTTAGATAAGAAGCCCACTGGGAAATAAATTGTTCTAGTATGTCCCAAAATCTCATGACAGTTATCAATGCACTAAGAGTGAGTCCAATGGCTATGAATGAGGGGCTACTTAGCATAAGGAATTATCTCCAGACATAACAGTGGATTAACTGACATATCTTTCACTGCCTACTGAAGAACAATGTGGGGCAACTTGTCCCTTGCTTGGTCTTTATCCTTCATATTTTGAAAAAAGCAGCACACCACATATGTCAGCCCATTATGTTTTTTTAGAAAATGTGAGTAGCCACAGACTGAAGCACTTTGGAGCAAGGAATTTATCTTTGCCTGTAGAAATCTGTGAAGAACATGTTGGACAAATCTGTGAAACCACCTTAAGGTCATTTCTAGGTGACAGTTGGATTTTTCTCACTTCAATCTCAAAATCTTAACTAAATAGTAATAAAAAAACCTTAGCAGATGTCTATAAGGCTGCCTTGCTAGGATTACTCAGTGAAGCAAAAATAGCCATTTGGGATTCATTTCTGTGCAGTAAATAAATCTGGATGCACACAGCTATATCACAGCCTTTAACCCCACCTATGAGTGCTGTATTTATCATAACACAGTTCTGCATTTCCAATACATTTCCAATACATTTTCCCATGTCGACAATCTCTCTGTACTTCAAAAAGCTTTTAATGCAAGTACCATGAAATAACTGCATTTATAAATGGATCTCTGTGCCATTCCAAAATGAATCTTTGTTGACTTATAGGTCAGATCAATAAGCACCACCAAAGATGAATCACTGATTAAAATGTGTAAAAAAAAAACTAGAAAAAATACAAACTTTGGTGACAAAGACAATACAGGCACTCTCCTACTTTATAAACAATCAAAGTAATTAAACAGAAATACTGTCCTTGAGTAGCACTCAATCAGTTTCAGCTCTAACCTTGTAGCAGAACAAAATTACAATGTCTAAATAAGTCAAATTATTCATCCATCACATAGCTGCCTCATTGAACTGTATGTAAGAAGAGTATAGCCTTCTAATTCATACTAAGCTGGTGCCACATCTGGTTTTCTCGTCTATCGCATACAGTCCACAGTCTTATTAAAAACAACTAAAAAAAATGCCTATTTGGCACTTCAAGTGCATGGTTTTCTTACCATGAAAATACTTCCAAGTACTTCCAGTTACAGTAAATTATTAAATTCTATTAGAAAGATGCTACTATTTTTATACAATAGAAATACAGATAATATATAAAATACCACAGTGATTTCTATTTTAGATCTGAAGCATTTGTAGGGAAGTATACCAAGAAATCCTGCCTTTAATGAGCAATATGCTATTA